GTTTTTTGTTTATCCACACCAATAACAGTCTCTCAACATCTTCTATCACTTGCGATCTCTGTTTCGAAAACAAAGTTGCACCTTTGGCAAGAACGTTTCCTTGATTGCCGTTTTCTTGGCCACAATAGTAGCGATGGTTGATTGGGGTTTTGTGTACAACCTGGCGAGCTCAGAGACACGCACTCCACTTTCATACTTAGCAATGATCTCTTTCTTCATATCCATAGTAATTCTCACCCTTTTTGCTGTAGGGCTGGCACTAGAAGCTTTCTTGGGGCCCATGGTGACTTATTTTGCAGGTGAAATTTCACAAAAAAAACGCTTTTGGATATGTGAAATGTTCCGATTGTATGTTTGGATGCGACCACGGTGGCTGGCTTGTAAACACTGGCACCCACGGAGCAAGTGAGGCGCGCTCAGGCTACACGTGGACGCATCTCGAACGGAACGAATCGCGTTGGGCGAGTTTTTTAGCGCTAGCCGAGGCAAAATTTTTGCTTTAAAATGTATCACTAGGCGGATTTAACGTTATGCGATGCGTTCGTTAGGTGAGGGTCCACTGTATATACATGTACTAATGTAGATTTTAAAAAGGATGTGAAAAACTCTTAGGAATTCTTGTCAGAAGAATCTAAAATCAAGATAACAATGCATAAGTCTTTGCAATAAAGCTAAATGGACTTTTTTTTCTTAATTTCTAAAAGTATAAGAAATATAAGTCCCAAAGTTATTTTTCTTGTATAATAATAATTATGATAGTTGCAAGTCTGTTCTATAACTTATATGTTTTTGGTAAAGTTTTATTAGGTTATGCAGCTCAGTTCTGGTCAGTGGAGGCTCATCAAAAAATAGAATGGGGAGACTGCATGACTGCAAGCCTCATAGAACAGCATAATAAATGTAAACAGACCCATTGCAACTTGGTGTGTGCCGCATTGAATGCAGCTCCTAGCTGCTAGATGTAACACCAATAATACCTATACTATCGTAACGCATCGAACTTCTATTTTTGATAATTTTTTATCTTGTGTCAACAAAAAAAAATAAAAATTTGCTTATAAATACACTGAAAACAACATACAACAGATTTTTACTGTAATATATTTGTCAGTTGCAAATTATTTTAGCGTAAGGTTGATGAAGTCATACATCTGGCAGTGAGCGTCTGGGGGACTGCAGCTCTGCAGCTCCTATGGATGAGCCGCAACTGATTCTGGTTCCCATATTACAGAATGAATACAAATGCTTCAGAAAATGTAGAGAGAAGGATGACAAGATAATCAATGTACCTGAAGCATTTTCTACAGAGATAAGTTGAAATCACTGAACTTGCTCTATCTGGAAAGGCATAGAATTAGGGAATGTCAATGAAGTATATAAATAGAAAAGAGGAGTAAATAAAGGGTATATAAATATTGTAGTGCTAAAATTATATATCCAAGACCAGACTTGCAGCAGTTGATTCTATTTGAATAAATTTAGATTCAGAAAAATTGTAGGAAAGCTGACTCAAGAAATCGTAATGACACGATTGCAAACAAACCATACCCCCAGCCGGGATTGAACCCGCGGTCATAGAGTCTCAAAACTCCAGCCCGTCGCGTTAGCCACTAGACCAGCTAGCCACAATAAGATTCATCCAACTAGGTATATTTCTACACCATAGCTACACGCTAGCTGGAGATTCGTCTGTAAAAACTTGCATATGTGGTCACAGTGGTGCCTGTGCTAACCTTCCTATGGTGTAGAAATATACCTAGTTGGATGAATCTTATTGTGGCTAGCTGGTCTAGTGGCTAACGCGACGGGCTGGAGTTTAGAGACTCTATGACCGCGGGTTCAATCCCGGCCGGGGGTATGGTTTGTAGGAAAGCTGGATAGATACAAATGCAGTGTAATGCAATTCTATATTGATAGTGTTTCACCTACACAGTGGACTTTATCAAGTCACAAACAGATATATTTGTGGCTTTATAAAGCCCACTGTGTGAGTACAACATTTTCAGTAAAAAATTGTATTATAGGACTAACTGTGTGCCTTTATCCATCTTCTTAGTATTTTATAACATTTTTCTCCATTATAGGAAAGTACTGGTGTTATAGTAGTCGACAAATGGAACAAACTGTGAAACAGCATCATTGAAAACTTAGTTTTTTTTTATTTTATTATCACACTGGCCGATTCCCACCAAGGCAGGGTGGCCCGAAAAAGAAAAACTTTCACCATCATTCACTCCATCACTGTCTTGCCAGAAGGGTGCTTTACACTACAGTTTTTAAACTGCAATATTAACACTCCTCCTTCAGAGTGCAGGCACTGTACTTCCCATCTCCAGGACTCAAGTCCAGCCTGCCGGTTTCCCTGAACCCCTTCATAAATGTTACTTTGCTCACACTCCAACAGCACGTCAAGTATTAAAAACCATTTGTCTCCATTCACTCCTACCAAACATGCTCACGCATGCCTGCTGGAAGTCCAAGCCCCTCGCACACAAAACCTCCTTTACCCCCTCCCTCCAACCTTTCCTAGGCCGACCCTACCCCGCCTTCCTTCATTACAGACTGATACACTCTTGAAGTCACTCTGTTTCGCTCCATTCTCTCTACATGTCCGAACCACCTCAACACCCCTTCCTCAGCCCTCTGGACAACAGTTTTGGTAATCCGCACCTCTCCTAACTTCCAAACTACGATTTCTCTGCATTATATTCAACACCACTCATTGCCCTATGTACATGACATTCTCCATGCCTCCAGCCTTCTCCCTCAGTGCTACATTCTTCAACCCATGCTTCACACCCATATAAGAGCATTGGTTAACTATACTCTCATACATTCCATCTTTGCTCAAGGACAAAGTTCTTTGTCTCCACAGACTCCTATGTGCACCACTCACCCTTTTCCCCTCATCATTTCTATGATCACCTCATCTTTCATAGGACCCATACGCCTGACACGGTCCCATCCCAAATATCTGAATACATCACTCCTCCATACTCTTTCCTCCAATCTGATATCCAATCTGTTCATCACCTAATCTTTTTGTTATCCTCATAACCTTACTCTTTCATGTATTTCATTTTAATTTTTCTTCTTTTGCACACCCTTCCAAATTCATCCACCAATCTCTGCAACTTCTCTTCAGAATCTCCCAAGAGCACGTGTCATCAGCAAAGGCAACTGTGACAACTCCATTTATGTGTGTGATTCTTTATCTTTTACTTCACGCTCTTGCCAGTCCCTCACATTTACTTTCTCTTACAAAACCCATCTAATAAATATATTAATCAACCACGGTGGACATCAACATCTTGTCTAAGGGCCTACTTTTATGGGGAAATAATTTCCCTCTTTCCTACATACCTAACTTGAGCCTACTATCCTCGTAATTTAAAACTCTCACTGTTTCAGTAACCTACTCCACCCCATACACCTGCAAACATGCCACATGCCCCCTATCCCCATGTCCTACGCCTTTTCCAAATCCATAAATGCACAAAGACTCTTTAGCCTTATCTAAATGCTGTTCCACTTATTATTGTTCTCTGTAAACACCTGGTCCACACACCCCCTCCCTTTCCTAAAGCTCATTGTTCATCTTGCTATCCTTTTCTCCGTCTTACTCTTAATTCTTTCAATTAATAAACTCTACAATACACTTTACCAGGTTTACTCAACAGACTTATCCCCCTATAATTTTTGCACCTCTTTTGTCCCTTTGCCTTTATACAAAGGAAACTATGCATGCTCTCTGTCAATCCCTAGGTACCTTACCCTCTTCCTACATTTTTATTAAATAATTGCACCAAACCACGCAAAAAACTTATCCCCACCTGCTTTTAAACCAAATCTCTATTTATTCCTATCATTCCCAGCTGCCTTACCCCCTTTCATTTTTACTACTGCCTCAGGAACTTCCCCCTCACTCACAACTGGCTCTTCCTCACTTCCTACAACGATGTTATTCCTTCCTTGCCCTATACACGAAAAAACAGTTTCCCTATCTTCATCAACATGTAACAAATTCCTCAAATATTCCCTCCATCTTCCCAATACCTCTAACTATCCATTTAATAAACTCTCCCTCTCCTATTTTTAACTGATATATCCATTTGTTCTCTAGGATTCCTTAACTTGTTAATCTCACTCCAAAAACTTTTTCTTATTTTCAACAAAATTTGTTGATAACATCTCACCCACTTTCTCATTTGCTCTCTTTTTACATTGCTTCTACCACTCTTTAACCTCTCTCTTTTTCTCCATATTACTCTTCCTCCTTGCATCACTTTTACTTTGTATAAAAACTTTCATTGCTACTTTTTCTCCATTACTACTCTTTACATAAGCATTCCACCAATCGCCTTTCCCTCCCGCATCCACTTTCCTGTAACCACAACTTCTGCTTGAACGCTTACACTACATTTTTAAACCTACCCCATACCTCTTTGACCACATTGCCTATGCTCTATTAGCCCATTATCCTCCAATTAGCTTGTTTATATCTTACCCTAACTGCCTCCTCTTGTAGTTTATAAACCTTCACCTCTCTCTTCCCTGATGCTTCTATTCTCCTTGTATCCCATCTACCTTTTACTCTCAGTGTAGCTACAACTAGAAAGTGATCTGATATATCTGTGGCCCCCCTCCATAAACATGTTAACATCCTGAAGTCTACTCAACAGTATTTTATCTACCAATATATAATCCAACAAACTACTGTCATTTCGCCCTACATCATATCTTGTACACTTATTTATCCTCTTTTTCTTAAAATATGTATTACCTATAACTTAATATCTTGGATAAATAGGGAATGGTTGGATGTTATTAGGACTTGCATAGCATGGGCCAGTTAGCCTACTGCAGTGCTTATCTAGTCTTATGTTCTTATCCTTATGTAAGAATATCCTGTTCATATATTGCCTGCTTTGCTTACCATAGAATAATGAACTACAGTATATATTGAATATAATTTAATGTATGATTTATTACACTTTCAGGTTGCACTTTTAATAATTGCCATAGCCTTTATTGGATTTGGGGTCCCATTTTACTTCTGCCTCCTTGGTGTGCCTGTAGCTATTGTCTTTATTTATGCAGTAATATGGGCAGGACATGTCTTTAAGGTAAGGTTAATAGTATACTCTTAAATATGTATGTATATCATGTTTGGTATAAACTTTGGTAATAAATACCGACAAGTTGGTTTAGAAAGACATGTAAGCAAACACTATGACATATTTATTAGAAAACGTTTCGGTCCTGGGACCTTGATCAAGGTCCCAGGACCGAAACGTTTTCTAATAAATATGTCATAGTGTTTGCTTACATGTCTTTCTAAACCAACATGTCATGTTTACACCTTTATAACAAATATTTTTTTTGTTGAGCAATGTTCTTCAGTTTGAATTTGTTCTTAGCCATACAGTGGATAAGACTAATTATTTTTGTCTTGTATTCTCTTCTACACAATTTCTTGTGTATTTTTTTTTAACATGCTGGCTGTTTCTAACTGAGGTAGGGGGACCCAGAAAAAAAAAAAAAAACACTTTCACCATTCATTCACTCCATCCAGAGGCATGCTGATACTACAGTTCAGATGCCTCTCCAAACTGCAAATATCCCCACCCCTCCTTCAGAGTGCAGACACTGTACTTACCACCTCCAGGACCCAAGTCCAACTAACCAGTTTTCCTAAAATCCTTTCACAAAATGTTATCTTGCTCATACTCCAACAGCTCATCAGTCCCAAAAACCATCTACCTCCACTCACTATTGTGTAACACATTTACACATGCCTGCTGAATGTCCCAAAAAAAAAAAGACCCTGCACACAAAACCTCTTTACCCCTTTCATGCCATCCTTTTCTTGGATGACCCTTCCCCCACCTTCCCTCCACTACAGATTTATACATCCTCCAAATCATCCTATTTTGCTCCACCCTCTCTAAATGACCAAACCACCGCATCAATCCTTCTTCAGCCCTCTGGATAATACTTTTAATAACTCTGCACCTCCTCCTAATCTCCAAGCTATGAATTCTCTGCATAATATTCACATCACACATTATCCTCAGAGATAACATCCCCATTGCTCCCAGTCTCCTCCATGTTGCAGCATTTACAACCCATGCTTCACACTGATAGTGAATGTTGGTACCATTATACTCTCATGCATTTCCCTCTTTGCCTCTATGGATAATGTTCTTTGTCCCCACAAATACCTCAGTGCACCACCCACTTCCCCCCCCCCCTTCATCAGTTCCATGGCTTACCTTGTTTTTCATATACCCATCTGCTGACAAAATCCACTCCCAATAATCTGCACAAATTCACTTCCTCCTTACGCCCTCCTCCATTCTGATATCCGATTTTCATTACCTAACTTGTTTGTTACCGTGATCACCTTGCTCTTTTCTATGTTCATTTTCAACAATAAATTAATACTGCTAGCAGCAAAGTGGTATCACAATATTTATATAAATGTGTCTTTTTTATATTATTAGATTAAACTCAGTTGTACTATAGTCAATACCAAATTCATTATATTAGACCATATTGCAATTACTAGTGAGATACTGGTGCTATTTTTAATTTGTATTGTTATATTATTAGATTAAATCTAGTTGTACTATAGCTCTTTCTAGCTCAAAACATAGACTCCACAAAAGTCATTATATTAGACCTTAGTGCAATTATTTGATTACCACTTTATTGTTCACCACAACTTATATTAGTCCCTTTTATATTATAATTTTATATTATAATTCTAAAAACTTTAAAGGAATTACCTTTAAAGTACTACCTACTTATCTTATTCCCAAGCTCCATTATTTTGATATCACTTTATTTGTTCACACAAATTATTTTAGTCCTTTTATATTGTCCCTTTATTTTTGCTTTTAAACAACTACCTTAGCTCATTTAATTTTTACATTTTGTTTAATAATTCAGGTGCTATTTTTTTAGCTTTAGAATATTTATTTGTTTTATACTTAAATTCTAAACTATAGATCTCACTACAAATTCTTATGCATTACAAAGCATTGATCCTGATACCAACCTCTTTGTTAATGACTTAAATGATTCAAACAGTTACTGTAATTACTACACAGCAGAACAATCAAAGGCCTCTTCTCAGAGCCCAACAACAGCCCATAACTATCTTTAACTACAAATATCAGATCTTTAAGCAAGCAGTACGATGGACCTCCTAGCATTACTAAAATTCCTTGCATGCAATATGTCCATCATTACACTAACGGAAACCATGGCTAAAGCCTGATATACAGATGTCTATGCCATTCCTGGTTACACAGCCATACACAACTGTAGGCCGACCAAACAAGGGGGTGGCACAGCTATATACTACTCAGACAAAACTTGATATGTATCACTAATACTTGCAACAAGGGATGAAATGGGGAATATATAATAGTAAAATTCAAATCCAAATAACTACCAAAAACACCTCTCACTGTTGATAAAACATATACAGAAGTTCCACAATCAAACATTAGCCAGTTTAGTCAAAACTAGGAAGTAAGAATAACTGATTGCACGCATTGAACGAAAAGATCACTTTACTACTCTCAGGTAACTTCAATATAAATCTCCTGCAAGATCCAGGACCCACACATTACTGAATTCACAAACCACAATGAGTAATGCATGTTGCTACCACAGTAACATGGACTACAAGAGTTCGGAGACTATGTTTCCCTACTTGTACCACATCTGGATAAGATCCAAACACCATATCCCCTTTTAATCAGGGCATAATACAGATAATACCACAGACACTACCCTACTTTCCTCATAACAACTCTTGGTAAAATACCCCAAGGACACTACTAAAAGTCACCTTCAGACTTCACAATGAGGCAGCCATTAATAACTTCACAACAGCAGTAACAAACATTGACTGGGCACACTGAGCTAGAAATCTATACAGATATTGACGAATGTTTTTAATAATTTTCTAAAAAGACCCAATACCTCCTATAACAAGCCACTGCCCTAAAAAAAACTAACAGATGACAGTAAGAGACTGAACAGTCCCTGGTAACACCAGCTTCTAAATCCATAAATTACAAACACCGATATGAAAAACAGTACAAGAATGGGTTCACATACCAGAGAAAAACAAAACGGTTACTCATCAATTACTAACCAGCCTGATAAGAAGGGCCAAAAAGGAACTGTATTTGAGAACTGATTATCCAACTTACGAGGTGATATTTTTTAATAAAAAATAAAAAAAAAAAAAGACCTGGAAGGACCCTATCAGGAAATTCTGGGGGAACAAAAAAAAGATTTCACGAAATAGCGAAATAAATTAGCAAAATTAGATGACCCAAACTCCCACCAACAGCAAAACAGCAAAAAACAGACTCAATGATTTTTTCTCCACTATAGGACAAAAAACCTTGCCAATAAAATCCCAAGCTCAGATACACCACCATTGTTCTACCTACTGGCACTACCTGTGAAAACCACACTGTTCCTAGCTACGACTAAACCATCGAAGTCTCCCTTATTATAACACACTAAAAAACATGGCAGGAGAATTTAAATTCTTACCTCCCTTTTTATAACAAAAAAGTGTCACAAGTTACTATCACCAATCATTGAACACTCTTTAACAATCCATTGGAATCTCCTCCTTCCCTCTGCTCTCCAAAAATAGCAAGGGTCACCCCGATTCATAAAGGAGGGGAGACCAAACAAGAGTTGATTACTATAGGCCAGTATCCATTTGACACCCTCTCTCAAAAATCTTCGAAAATTATTCATAAAATCGAAACTACTCCTACCTCATATCCCAATCATCTCAACCCTGCCAATTTGGTTAGGCCTAATAAAAATACTAATGATGCTATTATACACATGCTAGAAACATATTTTTACACTGCAATAGAGGAAAAAAGAAGTCCCTCTGGGAAGCTTCATTGACTTACCGTAAGCTTTTGATACAGTTGACATGACTGCTCACGTAAAATTGTCAACACTATGGTATTAGAGGGGCACATCCCTCAGCTACCTCAGTCATACCTCAGGAGAGAAGCCAATATGTGTATGCAAAGGGGGCATGCTCTTCCGCTCAACCAATTACAGTTGGTTGTACCCACAGGGAAGTGTTCCTGGGGCCCTCTTCTCTTTCTCCTATCTTAAATGACCTACCAAATGCTTGCAATTACCTCAAACCCACACTTTTTTGCAGATGACACTACATACAGTCTTCTCTCACCCGGGCCCAGTCAGCTACCTATACTGATAAACACCGAAATACAGAAATATCTACCGGATGAGGCTAACAAAACTTACCACTACATTGACAAAAACTACTTCTTCAGGTTGGTAACAGAGCTACGATGACCTCTTAACATAACGATATAAACAGATCAAATATCTCAAAGCTAACAGAGGGGAAAATTCTTAGGAATCCACCTTGATAATAGACTCAAATTTCATACCACAAATACAACAAATTTTAAGAAAAATTTCAAGACTGTAGGCATACTACGAAGATACGGTTACTATGTGCCACAGTCAGCCCTCCTGGCCCTATCCACTCTCTTATTTACCCCTATCTCACCTATGGAATTTGTGCTTGGGGCTCAACAAACATTAACCATCTCAGACCACTAATTACCCAAACAAAGGCTGCAGTTAGAATGATAACAACTCTACACTACAGGCAGAACACTCCACCATTTTTCAAACACTCAACTACTCACCATACAATACATCCTACTTATTACTGCATATTACATCCATAGAAAAACTAATATGATATTAACCCTCCCTCAAACATCTCCTTGCCAACCTCAACAGAAACACTTGACCATAAACAAGGCACAGATCACTCTTTGATGTTCCTCGTGTCCATCTCACGCTATGCAAAAACTCAATGCACATAAAAGGCCCTAAAATCTGGAATTCATTACCTGTAAATATAAAAGAAACACTACCTGTTTATAAATTCAAGTCTCTTCTCAAAGATCACTTACTCACTCAAAACCAAATAAATACTGAATAACTGAACCTTATAAATTGTATATCCTATATGTTACTCACAATTATATCACACAAATGTTAAAACCTAGGACCCAATCTAACTTTGTTATTTTTTTAAATACACTACCTAACAGAATACTCCATTCGACTGAATGTACAGCAATGCATGCAACCATATGACCTGTCTTTGTAATACTCATTTGTGCTTTATAGTTATCTGTTTAAAATAATGTTTTATCACTGATTTCATCATTGCTTAGTTAATCTTAAGTTAATTTTAAGCCAGCCCGTAATGCTATGCATATAAGTGGCTTTGGCATGCTGCTCTTACCTGTATTTTTTGTACCTCTGTATGTATGCTTAAATTACTAAATAAATAAATAAATAAATAAATAAATAAATACTTATGAAGGTGTACTTGAAACATCTATAGGATTTTGCTTGTTTCTAAACTGCAGTTTTAGTTGTGCTGCAGTTATATATGTATTTCAACCCTCCACTTCAGGCTATGGAACTTCATGAAGACTTGAACAATATAACACAGACGTACATGCAAGACCCCGTTACTGGGTTTTGGGTGGCTGAAGTACTTGAAGTTAGTGGAGTAAATGAACTCACTACCTTGGTAAATAAAGCTAAGAAGGTAATTCTTTGTAAGTAACACCTTACATAAAAATCAGTGATTCTACAGTAATTTTCAACACTTGTGCCATATAGGACCAAGCATTTTTTTTTTTAATACGTACTTGTCATTGACAGTATTTATGGGTAGGAATAAATTTGCTAGTGTTGCATACAGAGTTATCATGTTTTTGTGTTATTTGTTTGCTTAGGTGGATAAGTACTAATAAAACTACAAAGTAGATAATACAGCAACACATCAGTGATTATCTGCCATATTTGCTGTGACAGGAGCAGATTAAAGAGTATTATTTGCAAACACATTACATGGTTTATTTAGAGAAACATTGGGACTGTATGTACAGGTAGCACATTTTCCACCAAGGCAGTGATCCCAAGAAGGCAAACACATTCATCATTGACAGTTCTCTACTTGTGTTTCCAGAAATGCATGAGAAACACAGTTTAGATAATCCACCGAATCATAACATCCCCACTCATTCATGTTTACCATAACCTACAAATTGGAAACAGAAATTAGAAAATTTTTTGGTTTATCTTGGACCATCATCGAGTCACAAGCAAGTAAAGTGAAAGAATGCCTGAAATCAAGTCAGGGCAGAGGATGGTGAGGAGACATCCAAGGTCAAATCTGTTCTTCAGGTTAAAGCATTTTAAAATATACTGGGAAAGACGAGCATCTGCAGAAATGAAGCTGTGACTAAGATTCATGTTAGGAACGAATGAACGAAGAAGACGACAGAGCTGTCGTGAGATGGGAAGGAAGAAGGATGAGGAAGGATGGAAATACTGGAAAAGGATGGGAAGGAGGGGAAGAGGAGGAAACATGGCAAGTGGCCCAACCACTTTGGGACATGTGGTACATAAGTACTGGAAGCGTAGATGGAGAGGTTTGAATGATGTTGGTACTTGGCTCACTAGGAGAGGATGGCAAAGGCAGTGGCAGGAGCTGGGACTGTCAGAAGGCAGCAAGCAGGATGAGTTGTGTTGGTGGTGGTCGGCTTGAGGCTTGTTAGGCTACTGTCCCATTAAGAAGAGTCTGGAACTTCGGTATTGGCATGTGCATGAGTCTAAATTTGCGGTAAGGGTTGATCTCTGGAGCATTACGGAGACTGATGAGTTCTCTAAGGAAGAGAAAACGTGATGGACTACAGACTTACTTGACTTCTTCGCTCTGGAGGAGGGGGATCAATGTCTGTGCATCCATTTCTTTAGGATACTCAGGAGTAGTGTGGAAAGCGACTCCACATATCTTATTATAATGTTGTTTATCCTTAGAGTGAGAGACAAGTGAAGTTGATGATTGGTCAGTTTTGTTGGTGTTGGAAGACGAGGACACTGCTCGTGTCTTGATAGATGTGGTGGCTGGCGTTGGAGGCGGTTTCTCATTGGTGGAGGAAGGTGGAGGCACGTGAGGCAGTGAGGGCTCTGATTGGTTCTTGGCTGTGGCGGTAGCTGGAGGAGGTGGTGGTCTCTCATTGGTGGATTGCGAAGTAGAGCAGGTGTAACACTGTGGCCCGGTGGCCTGGTGGCTAAAGCTCCTGCTTCACACACGGAGGGCCCGGGTTCGATTCCCGGCGGGTGGAAACATTTCGACACGTTTCCTTACACTATTGTCCTGTTCACCTAGCAGTGAATAGGTACCTGGGTGTTAGTCGACTGGTGTGGGTCGCATCCTGGGGGACAAGATTGAGGACCCCAATGGAAATGAGTTATACAGTCCTCGATGACGCACTGGCTTTCTTGGGTTATCCTGGGTGGCTAACCCTCCGGGGTTAAAAATCCGAATGAAATCTTATCTTATCTTATCTTCTGCAGAAATCAGTTGGTTTAATAAGATAGCATCTGTAATGGCTAGAAGAAGGATGAATAATTTTGTCAAAGGACTAGCTTATCTGATCACTGTTATTGATAGTGTCAGCAAAGTTAACATCTCTGTTGTATTCTTAAGTTTTTTTAGAAAGGAAACTGCCAGTTTCACTACATGTACTGAAAGGGGGCAGTTGAATAGGTAAGAGAATAAACACTTGAAATATTGATGACAGGAGGTGAAGTATAAAGGAAAAGCACATGTAATATTCAGAGGTAAATGAGTATTATTAATATTTTACTAATTAGAAATACTGTAACAGGAAAAGAAGGCACAGGTATAATTTTCTTCACTGCAAAATGCATTTAGGAGAGAATTATTATTACATTTGTTAGAGAGTGCTAGACCTGTAGGGTCATACAGTCCCTGGGGAATCCAGAAGGAGGCAATTAAATTTGATCTATATAAGGGAAAGATAGATCTAGTTTCTTGAATCAAGAGCTTACTGGTTAGGAGTTAGGGTAGAAGAAAGTTGTTTTTAGGAAGATAGTAGGCAATCTCTAGGTAGTAGGTTCGTAGACAGCAACCGCCCAGGGAGGTACTACCGTCCTGCCAAGTGAGTGTAAAACAAAAGCCTGTAATTGTTTTACATGATGGTAGGATTGCTGGTGTCTTTTGTCTGTCTCATAAACATGCAAGATTTCAGGTATGTCTTGCTACCTCTACTTACACTTAGGTCACACTACACATACATGTACAAGCATATAGTATATACACACCCCTCTGGGTTTTCTTCTATTTTCTTACTAGTTCTTGTTCTTGTTTATTTCCTGTTACCTCCATGGGGAAGTGGAAAAGAATTCTTCCTCCGTAAGCCATGGGTGTTGTAAGAGGTGACTAAAATGCCAGGAGCAAGGGGCTAGTAACCCCTTCTTCTGTATATATTACTAAATGTAAAAGGAGAAACTTTCGTTTTTCCTTTTGGGCCACCCTGCCTCGGCGGGATACGGCCGGTGTGTTGAAAGAAAGAAAGAAGAGTAGGCAATGTTTATAAAATTATGAGAATAGCTAAGATGTTAGATTGAACGGATGAGTTGAAGTATCAGAGTAAATAACCTGAGGATCACAGATGCATAGGACACAAAAGAAAAAGTAAACAAGAACACCTCTTTGAACAGATTGTGAAGAATAGGAAAAGTAGTGAATAGTGGTTGGAAAATGAAAAGTCACTTGGAGCAGTTTGAAGAGAGTAAAGTCATAAGGCTAATGAGCCAGAAAAAAAAAGGGTCTTAACCCTTAAACTGTCCTAACGTAGATCTATGTTCACATGTGTAGTGCTCTGATCTTTATTGTCTCCATTTGAAAGCATGTAAAAAAAAAACATAGATCTATGTTCAGAGTGCTACACACATAAATGCAGATCTACGTTTGGACAGTTTAAGGGTTAATAGTAAAGACAGAGAGAAGTATGAATGCCAGTAATGGGAAATAGAACAGTTTCCCAGTACAGTACTGTATTCCATGCTTTGGGGGTAAGGGTTCTTCCTGCTTTAGATTATGTATAAAATAGCGCGTTAGATAGGAGTGAATGGAGGCGAATGATACTTGGGACCTGATGATCTGTTGGAGTGTGAGCAGGGTAATATTTAGTGAAGGGATTCAGGGAAACCAGTTATGTTCATATAGTCGGACTTGAGTCCTGGAAATGGGAAGCACAATGCCTGCACTTTAAAGGAGGGGTTTGGGATATTGGCAGTTTGGAGGGATGTGTTGTGTATCTTTATACGTATATGCTTCTAAGCTGTTGTATTCTGAGCACCTCTGCAAAAGCAGTGATAATGTGTGAGTGTGGTGAAAGTGTTGAATGATGATGAAAGTATTTTCTTTTTGGGGATTTTCTTTCTTTTTTGGGTCACCCTGCCTCGGTGGGAGACAGCCGACTTGTTGAAAAAAAAAAATGTATTGTTTAGACTAGAAAATAATGTGTATTGTTTAGATTATAAAATAATGTATATTGTGAGATATAGTGTGGAATGAAGCAGGGGATACTTCCCTCAGTCACTCTAGTTTGAATTTTATCTGCATTTTAATGTCTACACACTAAATTAAAACTGCATAGTGGAAAGCAGCTCCTCATCCTTTTGAATTTAGGAAACTTTTTTCTAATCTTGTCTATGATTAACTACTGTTGAATCATGAGCAGATAATGCGGTCAGCCACCGGGATAAACTAAAAATTTTCCCATTCAACAGGTGGAGTATGAGTTCCTGACTGAGGAAGAGTTGGATGCCAGAGGCCTCAATTTAATGGGACAAAAACGACAAATTGCTGGTACTGTTGCCATCTCTAAATCGTTACATGGAGGACTCAAGTAAGAAATTTAGTGGTCCATTTAATGTTTCACTGTTTTATATTAATTTTTTAGTTCATCATCCTATTCAGAAACTTGCTTCCTCATAAGAGCACAAAAGTTGAGGAACACTGTAGAAGGCCTACTGGCTCATACCTGGCAGGCCCTTGTTAAATCCAACAATTCTCACACATACATTTGTCCAACCCATTTACAAAGGTACCCAAGGAATTAGGTTCAGTAACCCCTGGTAACAGATGCTAGGCAGGCCCTACTTGAATCCACCTCTTCTTATTCATATATTCGTTTAGGCTAATTTCAAGGCATCAGATTCGGTGACTGTACTGGGCAGATTGTTCTGCTCCTCTATTTTGCCTTTATGCCTGTCTTCCAGTTATATACTTATGTGATATTCCTCATTCTACATCTTTCAGGAGAATGCAGGTTTAGGGCTTTCAGTCCATCTTCATATGGAAGATTCCTAGTGTGTTGGATTAATTGCCATCTCCCTTTTTTGTTATAATAATGTTGCTGCTATACTATTCTATTATTTATCTCTAACTTGTGATTGTCCAGTTATATGCTTACACAAATAACCCGCACATAGAAGAGAGGAGCTTACGACGACATTTCGGTCCGACTTGGACCATTTACAAAGTCACACTAACCAGAAGTGGAGCAGGATGGCTATATAGTGGTGGTAGTAGTGGTGGTAGTAGTGGTGGTAGTAGTGGTGGTAGAAAGTGGTGGTGGTAGTAGTGGGTGGTAGTGGGGTGGTAGTAGTGGTGGTAGTAGTGGTGGTAGTAGTGGTGGTAGTAGTGGTGGTAGTAGTGGTGGTAGTAGTGGTGGTGGTAGTAGTGGTGGTAGTAGTGGTGGTAGTAGTGGTGGTAGTAGTGGTGGTAGTAGTGGTGGTAGTAGTGGTGGTAGTAGTGGTGGTAGTAGTGGTGGTGGTAGTGGTGGTGGTGGGTAGTGGTGGTAGTAGTGGTGGTATAGTGGTGGTAGTAGTAGTGGTAGTAGTAGTGGTAGTAGTAGTAGTAGTAGTAGTAGTAGTAGTAGTAGTAGTAGTGGGGAACTAAGGAGGAGGAGCCAGTCAAATATAAAGGGGAGCACTGCAAGGGAGCTAGGTGCCCATAGAGGGAGAGCAAGTGCACAGAGGTGGGGGGAAGGGGAAGTGATGAAATAAATAATGAAAGAACAGAAACACGTGACAGAAGAAAGACAAAAAAGGAAAGAGGAAAGGGGAAGAGGGAGAAGAAGAAAAAATGAGGAATCATGTTAAGTCACGGGTGTTCTGTGTTCCGTCTCCTACTTCAACAGCTCATTCTTTCTTCTAAGTCATAGGTTGAAGATGCCTTCTTTACTTTCCGTCAGCGTCAACATGCTCTCTTTGCGGCTCTACCACAAGATCTCTGTAACCTTCTCTCTACCATTGCGTTTGACACTGCTCACCTGAATACACAAATTCATTCTTCTAAACTACAGAATAAACTTCAATGTCTCATCTCAGCTAGCACTGACTGTGTTACTAACTTGTCTTCTGTCTCACTCTCTCAGTATGAGCTTGAACTTCTTGGTTTTGGTCTTTCCTTTGCCACTTCGCCTACCCCTCGCGCTGGTATTTCCCTGATTAGCTCTTTTGATTCCTTTCGTCAATCTCGCTCCCATAATCTTCCTGACTTGTCCACTTTTCGTGGCGCTCTCCTTCCTGCTCTTGTTAGTCTGTTTTCTAAGAATCACCACCTTCCGCGCCATTACCAACTTGCCCTTTCTTCTCTTAAATCCAACACTAACATTGTCATACTATCTTCTGACAAAGGTAATTCGGTGGGTATCCTTGATTGCAAGGATTACCTCCGTAAAGCTGATGTCTTGCTCTCTGACTCACGTACCTACGCTCCTCTCGTTTCCAACCCTCTTGATCGCATCAAGAGAACTTTCAACAAGAAACTAAGGACTCTCTCCGACCTCTGTCCTCCTGACTTTGACCTTGTTCAACGGTTTCGTGTCATCTGTCCCTCTCTTCCCTATTTCTGTGGCCTTCCCAAAACTCATAAACCTGATTTTTCCCTTTCGTCCTATCATATCCTCTAGAGGTTCTGTCTCTTATTCTCTTGCTTCTTGGTTGGCCAAAACCCTCACTCCCTTTCTTGGTACTTTTTCTCCTGCCCACCTCTGTCACTCTCAAGACTTCATTGAATGGGTTCGCTCTCTCCCAACCTGTAAGATGCTTAGTCTTGGCGTTGAGTCCCTCTTCACCAATGTCCCTCTTGATGATGTCCTTGATTTCCTTAGAGAGAAGGCCCTTGAAGGGTTTCTACATCTCCCTATACCTATTGAAGTCTTTCTTGATCTTATCCGCCTCTGTGTGGACTCTAATTCCTTTTCCTTCCAAGGGAAATATTATTCTCAAACCTTCGGTGTCGCTATGGGCTCTCCTCTCTCTCCTGTCCTTGCTAATCTTTACATGGAATACTTCGAGACTGTTCTTCCTACCAACGATGTGCAACCTTCACTCTGGCTCCGCTATGTGGATGACATCTTTGCTCTGCGGCTCTATGACTCCAATCTCTTCCAACCTTTTCTTGAAGCTCTTAATAATCTTGCCCCTTCCATTAAGTTGAAAGCTGAATGGGAATCTAATTCCTTGCTTCCTTTCCTTGATGTCCATGTCCATCGCTCAGATACAGGTTTTTCCTTTTCCGTTTACTGAAAACCTATGCACAGTGGCATGTACATTCACTACTTTTTCTATCATGCTTCCCCTGTCAAGAAAAAATGTTTCTTTTCTCCCTCCTTTCTCCGTGCCCTCCGCATCTGTGATCCTCAGTTCCTTCCAGCAGAAATTTCCACTCTTCATAATTCGTTTTCCCGTCTTGGCTACCCTTCCCATTTCATAGACTCTGCCTTCTCACGAGCTAAACGTAATTTCTTCTCTCCCAAACTCTCTACTCCTGGGAACTCTTCTGTCCTCTGCCTTCCCTACATTTCCGGTCTTTCTAATCTCAACAATTCTCTCCGTCCCTTAGACATCAAGCTTACTTTCCGCCAGACTAACACTCTTCGCACTAATCTCGTTCATACCTCTCCTCCCTCTACAGATGTTCCTGGTGTCTACTCTATTTCTTGCTCCTCCTGTCCTCTTGAATACTTTGGAAAAACTGGCTGATCTCTTTCTGACAGACTTAGGAAGCACAAAAATAGTGTTAGGCTTGCCGACACTAACAATGCTCTTTTCTGTCACGTCAGAGATCACAGCCATCCTATAGACTGGTCTTCTGCTAAAACTGTCTTCCCTACTTCCAACTTTAACAGTCGCCGTCTTGTTGAATCCTCTCTAATACACAACTTTCCTTGTATGAATCTTAGTCCTGGCTTCGTCTCTGTAGATGCCTTCCTCTCCCACTACATTGTAAAATGCTCCAAACTTCAGAACACCCATGACTTAACCTGATTCCTCATTTTTTCTTCTTCTCCCTCTTCCCCTTTCCTCTTTCCTTTTTTGTCTTTCTTCTGTCACGTGTTTCTGTTCCTTCATTATTTATTTCATCACTTTCCCTTTCCCCCACCTCTGTGCACTTGCTTTCCCTCTATGGGCACCTAGCTCCCTTGCAGTGCTCCCCTTTCTTTATATTTGACTGGCTCCTCCTCCTTAGTTCCCCACTACTACCACTACTACTGCTGCTGCTGCCGCCGCCACCACTACCACTACTACTACTACTACTACTACTTTTACTACTACCACCACTACCTCTTCCTGCCTATATATAGCCGTCCTGCTCCACTTCTGGTTAGTGTGACTTTGTAAATGGTCCAAGTCAGACCGAAACGTCGTCGTAAGCTCCTCTCTTCTATGTGCAGGTTATTTGTGTATCATTCCAGTCACGGTATTGTGCCTGTTTTTATTTATAAGCTTGCTTCCTTTAACCGTCTAACTGTCCAAACGTAGATCTATGTACGCTTGTGAAGCGCTCCGAACGTAGATCTACTTTTCTTTTTTTTTAAATTTTTTTCTTAGGGAGAAAATCAAGGTTGGAGAGCAATGCGTGCAAACGTAGCTCTATGTTTGGACAGTTTAAGGGTTAACCCTTTCATTGTCGAGACCCCTGCTCACAGACTTGCTCTCAGTGTCAATGATTTTTCAAAAAAAAATAAAAAAAAAAAAATCTTATAAAATGAGAGAGAATCTTTTCCCAATAGTAATGACACCAAAAGTATGAGATTTGACGGAAAACTTACAGAATTACGCTCTTGCGAAGTTAGTGGTCTTGGCGATGTTCACGCATCAGTGATTTTTGTCCACTTTGAGCCCTATTTTTGGCCAGTTCCATTATTCCAGTCAACCAAACTCATAGCTATTTTGCTAGAACTTCATTAGTTCTATTGACTGACTACAAGAAACGGGCCATTTACCAATTTCAACTACCTAATAAAGTGATCAGAAATTAGTAATTTGGTCAATTTCATACACAATTCGAGTAAGGTCAATTTCAAAATATTGCCCAGAATTAACAATACAAACATTCCTAGAACTTAAATAATGTTTTCTCTGTTCATTAGTCATGTCTCCAGGCCCCAGATTTATTGTTATGCAGACTACTGCATTATGTAAAAATGGTATAAATAATATCATCGCATTTGTGAAAGCATATTAGACCCACCAGTTGACATGTTTTAGAATAATTACATTTTAGAATAATTATGGAGTCTTATTCATAAGTCTAGTTGTAGATTCAATATAAATCTTATATTATTTTACTCAGAAAATCTAGTTTGTAAAGTTACTCTCATCCTATGATTACAGGCATAGATCCTGATGTACACTTTTTACTAAATGAATTACACGAATCAAACAGCAACTGTAATTGTAGTAGCAACTAACCAGTAATATAATTGTACTTAGTGGAGTGGAGTGACTTTCATTAGTTTTTTCTCTTTTTTGAAATACCTGACGTAAACAGTGAAACTCTTATAACCTGTAGTTACCAGCGGTCACGATATTCACAACGAGAAGCAAATATTACTGCAAAAAAAAGCGTCTTTTCACCAATAATTCCACCAG